GACGGATACTGAAAGGCCGAAACGTTGTAATAAATATGGCAACAAAGATGAGGACAATAGTCCGAATAATGTAAATAGTGTACATAATACCTCATCTCAGAAATATAGACAGATACTAAAGGGCAGAAACGTTGTAATAAATATGGCGACAAAGATGAGGACAATAGTCCGAATAATGTAAATAGTGTACAGAAGATAGCTATTATATCTTGCATCAATATTTTGGAAGTTTGTAGTTCACAAGAAAGCAAGAATCTTGAAGAAGGAAGCTATATTTCTGGAATGAGTTTTTATGTAAACTTAAGGACACATGGCACGGTGGATGTGGGCGTTGGATGGATCCAGTGGCGGGGTTCGGGGATTTGTGGGTTCAATACCTGGTTAGAAGAAGGAAGTTACGTTATGGCAGAGGGAATGTCACTGAAGCAGAGATGCCAATTCAGGACCGATAAAGTTGCAGATTCTTTTTTGGGATTATGTTCAGAATCGCGAGTTATATAGCAGGAGGTCCTGGCTAAATTTGCCTGCAATATCCAGTGCACGGATGAATGGTAGATTTCTGAAATGCAAGATGGATTTTGGTTCGAAAAATTTTTCTAGCCAAAATCCAATGTATCGTGCCAGACAAATTTGTCTGTCACGACAAAGTGAACTGAATTTCCGAGCAGCTGACATAGCAACGGATTCAGTATCCCCATTCCACTTCAGACCGAAAAGGCGCAGTAAGTTGACGCATGCGCTGTTGCTCGATTGAAAAAAAAAGAAATGTGAGTACGTGAATGATGGCGAAAAAAAATAGTTCACATTTCACAGCTGACAAGTGACTGACTCTAATGGCCATAGATTAAACGAAGAGCCAGGTGCTTCAAGGAAAGTGATGAGAGGAACAGAGACGGGAACTGATTTACTGGGAGAAAGGCTAGCTTTCGAAAATGGCCGTAATCGAAACAAAAATGGCCACATAAAGAAAGAGTTGTCACATCTGAATGAATGCTTAATCGTCAAAGTAATCTTCACTCCCTTTGAATCATCGCATAAATAGTCCCATAAGCCTTTAGTAATGTAACAGGATCAAATCTACCGCAGTCATAGCAAGAGAACAGAGTCAACCCTACTGTTTTATTATGAAAAGAATTAGCAAGAAAACAGTCAGCCCTAATATTTTATTATGAGAAGAATTAGAAAGAAAATAGTCAGTCCTAATATTTTATTATGAAAAGAATTAGCAAGAAAATAGTCAGCCTTAATATTTTATTATGAAAAGAATTAGCAAGAAAATAGTCAGCCGTAATATTTTATTATGAAAAGAATTAGCAAGAAAATAGTCAGCCCTAATATTTTATTATGAGAAGAATTAGCAAGAAAATAGTCAGCCGTAATATTTTATTATGAAAAGAATTAGCAAGAAAATAGTCAGCGCTAATATTTTATTATGAGAAGAATTAGAAAGAAAATAGTCAGCCCTAATATTTTAGTAGACAGACTACTATTTTATTATGGGAAGAATTAGCAAAAGAGTACAGTCAGCCCTTCCATTTTATTATGAGAAGAATTAGCAAGAGAAAACGGTCAGCCCTAATATTTTTATTATGGGAAGAATTAGAAAAAGAACACAGTCAGTCTTTCTATTTTATTATGTTCACAAAGACATGTACAGACACAAAGGCTGAGTATCATCTACCCAGTACTCTATTGTGAAAATAGAATAACATATATATTTTTAATAATTCAAAGCTCCAATTCATACAGCTGCGTTCAAAATATAAGATTTAGTAATAAAATGGTGTTTAAAAGATTTAGATTTCGGCATTAAATAACCGATAGAGCTTGTCATGCCACTAAACAAAATCAACCAATTAACGTTGTTTAGTTTGAATAGTGTGGTAAATCTAACATATATATATATATATATATATATATATATATATATATATATATATATATATATATATATATATATATGAAAAATATACCTACACGGGTTGATAAATATATATTTTTTATAATTAGATTATTACCTTTAAATTTTTCATAATAAATGGAAAATCTTATGTGTGTATTTTTATCAAGAAATTTAATATGTCTATGTTTTCGTCTTTTTTTTATGGCTATTTTATTTTTTTGTACTTGTGTTGCGTTTGATTTCTGTAGAATATATTAACGCCATTGTTAATAATCTTATCTTGAGCTCGCGGGGTTATATTAAATTTATTATTATGCGAGGAAAATCTAATTTGATATTCAACAATATAATTAGGGAGACCGTTGTTAATAAGTGTTTGTTTTCTGTGACTTAATTTCTTACGAAAAAAATGTTTTGGACAGAGAGATTAATTCCGCTTTTTCCAATAAATTGTTAATGGCGGCAAATTCATATCTTTAAGAACATTCGCTTTTGTAGTTTAGGAAACCAGAATTAGAACTGGATGACTTTTCATTGGGAGAAATTATAAAATTTTGTCCGTTGTAATCAATAAGTACACTTCTCTGCTTTAAGTCACTCTTAGATTTTGTACTGGCTCAAATAAATATATATATATATATATATATATATATATATATATATATATATATATATATATATATATATACCCAGGTATATAATTGGTGTACACGAAATGAATTCCAATAACCAACAATTACTCTTCTTAAAAGAGTGCTTAATACAAAGTAGAGCAGATATAATTATTTAAAAAAAATAAATTATAACATAAATATGTTATAAAATCACTACAAAAATAGCCATTTTGTTTCAACACCCTCGGTGTCTTATCAAGGGATGATGTTGAATGTAATATAAAATAACCATTCATTTTACATTCAACATCATCACTTGATAAGACATCGGAGGTGTTGAAACAAAATGGCTATTTTGTAGTGATTTTGTAACAAATTTATGTGATAATTTTTTTAATATATATATATATATATATATATATATATATATATATATAAGTGAATATTGACGTCAACACTTAGAGGCGACAGTCTGTTTCCTGCTAAATGCAATCGCCAGGCCACGATTGCGTCTAGAATGAAAGAGACTGTCGCCTCTAAGTATTGACTTCAATGTTCACTTTTATATATATATATATATATATATATATATATATATATATATATATATGTATGTATGTGTATTGTGTGCGATGGATAAATTATCGCCTAAATTAAGCATCTATGAAAACAATTGTTCTTTTTTTATATTTTGTCAACTGCACAGAATAGTAGATTCAGTCTCTGAGACAAAGAACATCATGCCGCCTGAAATTTGGAAAATGTCGCGCTGTATTACTTGCCCTTCGCTTAGGAAGCTCCAACAGGAACATATCAGTGTCTTTGAGTCTAAATCTGAGAAGAGTACAGAGAATTCGGAAATAGTTGGATGATTTTAATTTTGATTATGAAGGTTATTGGAGTGATCACACGTAATGGCGACGTTATACCTCCATTCATCTTCCTACAGGGTCTCATTCTCAGCACAGAGGTCTATATCAAGTACCTTGAGAGGTAGTGCAGACCTGTGTCAATAGGGTGGCCGCTGGAAGACCCTATATCTTGAAATACGATTCTGCACACTACACTACGACTAAAGCAGAACAACCCAGGATATTAGACAAATTTTGCGACCATATCACTCCTTACATCTGGCCTACACACCCATAAATTATTTTGTGTCGGGTACAGTTGAGCGAGAAAACAACAAAACTGATTTCGCTACAGATGAGGGTTTCGGGTAGCAAGGTCGATTTTTACTGTTTTTAAACTACAATTCTCCATGATTTTCTCACATACATTCATATCTACTCGATGTGTATTCAAATGTAAATAAGTGACGTCACACATTATGAAATGGACAAAGTCCAACAATCATTTTAAGACATTTTGCTATCCGAAAGGCTCCACTGTGACGAAATCGATAAAAAGCACGTCAGGCTATATGACGGTTCCGTATAGGATACAGGTTCGATTCCTGTCGGAGGAGGCATATTTTCTATGAAAATTTCTTGGACATTCACGTCGGTAAATGTTGTTAATACTGTTTATTATAAACAGATATTTACTTAAATATTTGTATCTATAAAAAGAATGTATAAACATAAAAACGTTTTAAAATAATTGTCGGACTTTTGTGCATTTCATAATATATATATATATATATATATATATATATATATATATATATATATATATATACTTACCACCGTGCCTCCTCACACACACACGCACACACACACACACACACACACACACACACATATATATATATATATATATATATAAATACTTACTCCACCGTGCCTCCTCATACACACACACACACACACACACTCACACACACACACACACACACATATATATATATATATATATATATATATATATATATATATATAGACCCGGATAACCCGGATATAAAGATAGACCCCCAAATTAGAACCTGTGTTAATATAAGAGAAAACCCGGATATAAGATAGATTTTCTCTGGTCCCAAATTAGAACCTGTGTTAATGTGTATATAATAGACCAAACCCGGATATAAGAGAAACCCGGATATAAGAGACTTCTTCTCCGGTCCCGACAACTCTCTTATATCCGGGTCATCTATGAATACACATATCAGTTCTTTTACGGGGTAGGGAGGTTTGATTCCAGTATGATCACCGGAGTTAAGCAAGTGTTTGTACCTATATGCTTGGATGTGTGCGTGGTGTAATGGAAAACGATTTGGAATTGTTCATCGGAGTGCCAAGATCATTTATATTTACTTACGTGGAAATATCCTTGTGAAAGCTATGAATCCTCCTCTTCTTTCCTTTGTTGATTAGTAAGACTCTTATCACTAAGATCATTATTAAAATTATTTTCTGGATTTAAATAAGCTGCAAATTCTTGATAAACCGTAGAAGTCGAAATCATTCAACCAATCAATTCTTTTACCTTTTTAGTTGTATTAAACGAAAAAAAACAAACAATCTACTGTATAAATCAAAGAAAGATCAAGAAAACAGACAGAAAGAAAAAAAAAGGAGGTTGGGAAGAGAGTGGTCAGAGAGAGAGAGAGAGAGACAGACAGACAGACAGACAGACAGAGACAGAGAGGGACAGAGAAAAAGAGAGAACGCATAAAATGAAGAAAAAGAAAATGATAAAAGAGAGAGAAAAAGGACGGACAAAACAGAGAGAGAGAGAGAGAGACAGAAGAAGGGAGAGAAAGGACAAAGAGCAAAAAGAAGAAGAGAGGAAAATAAGAAGAGAGAAATAGAGAGAGAGAACGAGACAAGAGCGACAGAGAGAGAGAGAGAGAAAGAGTGAAAACGAGTAGAGAGAGAAAGAGAAAAAAAGAAGTGAGAAAAGAGAGTGAGAGACACAGAAAAAAGAAAATGGAGGAAAAAGGTAAAAAGTGACAACAAAGAAGTGATAGAAAGTAAAGAGAAAGACAAAAAGGAAAGCGAGAGAAAAGAGAAAAGGGTATGGGTAAAAGAGAGAAAACAGATAGAAATAGCAAACAGAGATGAGAGAGATGGGGTGGGGAGAAGAAGAGAGAAAATAAGTAAAAGAAAATAGAGAGAAGGGAAAGTGAAACTTAGTAGGGAGAGAAGGCTTTGAAAAAATCGAAATGGTGTTTTCCAACGGAGGTTTTAAGTGCTACAGTTCAGTCCATTTTAATTTTGATGTTTATAACAGCATCGTTCTTTTTCGACAAGTGTTTTGGGATCGTCTGTTTTTTTTTATTTCAGGGTGTACAAGATCACCACTGCCTGTCTCCTCACCAGCGAACAATTTGGTGTCTGCCTCTTTTTTTTTTTCTTTCTTTTTTTTTATTTATCTCGGGGCGGCCAACAGGAAATGTCTACAGGCTTTCCAAATCGGTTAGGGTTCATTAGAGCCAGTCCTAAATTTCGTTTACCCCAGTCAAAACCCCGAATGCTTTCATGTTATTTTTCCTTAATGCCAACTGGATGGCTATACAGAGTTTATCAAAAATAATTCTAGAAACTTTATAGGTTTATTTACACCAAAACAAGGACAAAAGTCCATATAAGCAAATGTCTGCAAATCTTGTTTTCGAGTTATTAAGTTTAAAGAAAGATTACGTTAGATGACGCTGTGTTGCCACATAGACTAGTTTACGTTTGTCATTCGTGTACGTGCGTGACTAGGCTGTCATCACGTCTGTAGTAATGAGTTAACTGAGAAATGTTCTGTTTAACAATGGCAGAATGTTCATATCATGAGGAGGCCGATATGATTTTTTATATACGGCCGCGTGAATGGTAATGGACGCGAGGCTGCACGGCTGTGTCGGACTACGTTTCTAGATCGAAGGTAGCTGAGTCATCCAAACTTTTCTCCTGTTTGTCTTCGTGTCAGTAAGTTCGGTTCTGTGACATCATGGACATTTGCCATTGTTTTTGTGTGAGGAACCTGCCCCCAAAGTTCGTAAAACTATTTTTGATCCCTCCTGTATATGTAATCCCCACCACACACACGCCCACAGGCATACATACACATACGTCAATAAAACACTCGGCAATGTACCAAACGACCTCGTCTGTAATTTTAGTGCTTTTAGTATTTTTCAGTACTGAAGACGACCTAAAAATCAGCATGTGACAAACTGCCGTTTACTTACATCGGAACAAGTGCTAGATATTATTATTCTTTTTTATGGCTCTCCATGACTTCCTCTCTTTTGCTACACTAGATAATCTTTGATACTTTACTATTACTCTTCGTCCGCTTTCTCAGATCAATGGTTAAAAATGGTTTTGAACGAATGAAGTTGTCTTTACCAATCTGAGGATCTTACACAAGAATTCGCCTTGAAAACTGGTGCTAGTCTGAGTTCCAATAGATGTCCCAGATACCGTTGCGAGGACAACCGTTCATCATAAGGTGCATCAAATATCGCTCACTTCAAGCTGAAGATGATTAAGCTAACATATAGATTGGTAGATTACTGGCCAAACAGGCGACAATCCCAAATTTATTTGGCGATCTTTCGCAAACAGTCAACTCTACATTATTCCAGTTTTGATTGTGAAAATTAATTGCTTACAATAGATAAGGAAATGCAAACAGAATAGTAATTATATATGTAAAATGCGTATAGGCTCCTGAAAAATTAATTTCGGTTGAGCTCTCTGGGGGAGGAAGTGTGGGTTTGTAAAGAGGGACTATCACAGCTAATATAGCAAGACTCTTCGGGAAAGCGAATCGAGTCCTCTCAGTCACTGAGTGTTTATCTAAAAAAAAAATAAATAAATAAATAGGCTAACATTCACCTTCATCCCTGCCATACGCCAACGACTTAGTGGAAGAATGTCCGACTGACGCCAATTCAGCCGGGTTTCGATCCTAGCCAGAGGCAACCGGACGTCTATCCACGCTGAAGAGCTCTGATAGGGCGAAACAGTCTGTCTGTGGATGACTATATATATATATATATATATATATATATATATGCGCAGTTTTTATTGGAAAGCGTTCAATATCAGTGATAGAGCTAACATATTTAGTTGGATTGATGTGAGTTTGTGACCCTGGGTTTCACGCTATTTGCAATCGTCATTCAAACTCTATATACATATACATAAAAGGTTAATGTTCTGAATTGAATCAAACCAGAAAACAGTAGTATTAAAAGTGCTCAATACACGTGTAAAAAAATCAAAAATCCAGAGCTTTTAATTTTAATAATCAGGAGGTGAATTGGTTTCGAAGTCAAGATTTCATCAGGCAATGTTTTTCAAATGACCACTTTAGCGGCTTATTTTTTAAAAACCACTAAGAACGCTACAATATTATTTTTTAAAGAATAAATAAATAGGCGCGTGTCGGTTGAAAAACATGACGTTGAGTGTATTAGAAAGGAAGTGGTTAGGGAGAAGAAGAAGAAGAAGAAGAAGAAGAAGAAGAAGAAGAAGAAGAAGAAGAAGAAAGAAGGGTGAAGAAAAAGAAGAAAAGAAGAACGGCAATACAAGTGTATTGTAAATGGCTACAGTAAAGAAGAAAAGTAACGTAAATGCAAGGAAGAATGGGGAGGCAAGCACATCTTAAGAATAACAGTGGGCTTTTAAATTAGATTTTTTTTACCCGGCCTCATATTCACTTACTAAAAATTTTCTGATATGAAGGCAAGGACTTAAATTTCAGATTTTTTTGCTTAAAAGATTTTGGGGGTCTAGAATATATATATATATATATATATATATAGATAGATAGATAGATAGACAGATAGATAGATAGATAGATAGATAGATAGATAGATAGATATCACACACATACACACACACACATATGTATCTATATAACACGCAGATATATCACACATATATCATATATATATAACCCATATATATCATATATATATCACACGTACATCATATATATATTATATATATATAGCATACATATGTATCACATACATATATCACACATATATATATATATATATATATATATATATATATATATACTGTCATTATATATATATATTATAATTATTTTTTAAAAGTATGATTCCATCGATTTCTAAGTGTTCTCATGTTTCATAAACAGGAGCCAAAAAACTTTCAATTCAATTATAGAAATTAAATTAAAGTAAAATATTTCTTACTTTCGAAAGTAACTAATATGTTGCTACAATAGTTGTCATTGAAAATGAATACCCTACCGCCCCTTATTAAAATGATTAGTTTTCTCCATATCCATAGAAATTAATATTACGAATGTATATGCTTATTAAATCCGTAAATTTCAAAATTAGTTATTCCACAATTCGCTTGTGGATGAAACAGAACTAGGTACTTTATAATTTCTATAATTGAATTGGAAGATTTTAGCTTCTGTTTTTGAAACCTGAGAACTCTTATGTAGCGATGGAATCATATTTTAAATAAAAATAATTATAATATAGGTATATTGCGTATCGAGCACGGTTTTTTTTAAATAAAAACAACAATACTAAAGAAATTCGGATTATTAACCTAACGGTTTTTCCTATTTTCTTAGTGATACGAGAATATGTAAAATGCACACCAGATCTGGTCCTTATCTATGTTAGCTTTTTATGTTGAAGCAGGTGTTTTGTGCATTCTACAATGCCACGTATGTAAGATATATATATATATATATATATATATATATATATATATATATATATATATATAGATAGAGAGAGAGAGAGAGAGAGAGAGAACGAGAGAAAGAGAGAGAGAGAGACAAAATTATTACAAGTAAAAAGTTAGTCACTTAGTTGATGGATGGTTCCTTTAGCATCCTAACTATAGAGTTTCGTAAACAGACACTCAGGGAATCCTTCCGCCCACTCGTCATGGAATGTCAGCAACTGACTGCTTATACATCTCAATTTTTCATTTTTATACGGACTTTTCATTGGTACAAGTTTTATTTTTCATTGTGTATGTGTGCGTGCGTGTATGCGCTCGTGTGCGTTTGGCCATGCGCCCGTCTGCGCGTTTTAGCGTACATTTAGAATGTCGTGGTTATTTGTCCTGTTCATGGTTTTTTTTTTCCTTTTACAGTCAATCGTTATTGTTTGTTTATAATTATTTATTCGCTCTTATCGCTTTTCTTTCAGTTGCAGTCATTTTGACATGCGGTTTTCAAGACATTTGTTGTTATTGTTAATTCTTGAACGTTCTAACGTTTTCTAGAGTGAGGAAAATTATATTTTACATGAATATTTTTAATACTGACATAATAAGGTAAATATTTATATATGTCTTCACTTGTCCATATTTTTTAATTCATTTGGTGGTATCTTAAGTATTAGGGCGTTAATTATAGTAGGTAATGTTTATAATTAAATTGTTATTTATCATTATTTATTATGGTTCTCATTTGTATGCATTCAATTCATAGGTTTTGCGCGCACACACACATACATATACATGCCTACATATACAGAGATATACACACATGTACATATATACACAGGCAAAAACGAAATGACTTTTGTGACCGGCTCGAGAATTGTACAAACGACCACAAACAGTACAGGAGAATGTATTGTATCCAAGTGCCGCAGGAACTCTATTTGTTGTCTTATTTTGCTTTCGTGTTACACATAGTCGACTGATGCTTACTTTTTGATGCGGCATTATTCCTGAATGACAGAGAGAACGATACTCTGATCTCTTCATAGCTACCTCTTCAAAGTGCTTTTTTTTGTAATATATATATATATATATATATATATATATATATATATATATACTGATAGATAAAGAGATAGGTAAATTGATAGAAAGAGATAATGACATGCTCTTTATAGATAGACAGATAGTCGAAATAACCATCTTATCGGAAATTGTATTTTGATGATGCCTTAGTATATTTTTCTTGTATCGTTTTCGTAATGGCAACCGATAAATGGTTTCTCCCCAAACGAATATGTAAACACATTCAACTCTATCTACGTCTGCATGTCTATCATATATAGATACGTAGAGAAACAGCGAAAGATAGGAGACCCCTTTTTTTTTCTCAATAGGTTTCGAAATGACTCATATTTCCAAATATATAGTGACATTGTGTTGGTCTTGATAAGACTAGTAACACATGGACAATTTACAAACTTTTTCGTTTATTTTAAATGAACACGCACTTAGACCATTCCGCCGGGTTCCCGGGCTTCATCCGGCGCCTCGTTCAACAACCCCCGCGTTCTCAGACTCACAAACACGACGATGACTGTTCCAATTGTTTTTTCTTTTCTTTATTTATATGTTTTGAGGAGATCCCAAACCAAAAAGAACACAAATAAAAAGCAGAAATCTATTGCTCTCTGAAAGAAACCTTGAAAGATATAATTTAAAAGTTGTAAAATAGGCACTCTAAGAAAAAATAATAATTTTTATTTTCAAAATTATTTTTCGTATTAAAAACTGCGAAAAAGGAAATATCTAGGAAGTGTTTTGAAAGAGGATGGAACATTCAAATCCAAAGATACCTCCCAAAAGCTAAGCGAAGTATTAAGTAACAGTGAAATTTAATTGGAAACAAAGAAAAATTTTGGCTACTGGTATGTAAAATTGGTACTCCTATATGGAAGTGGATGCTGGACAATCTCTTCACAGATGGAAGCGAGATTTAAGGGAACAGGAATATGACTTTACAACAGGATACAGGGCATTACATTGAGGCATGAAATAGACTGTCCCTGCTGGTTTTGACCTCAAATCCCCACCTATATATATATATATATATATATATATATATATATATATATATATATATAATTTCATCACATACACCAAAACAGTTTACGCACTACAAAGATGCAACTTCGTTTCGGTGCATTTATGTATATATATATATATATATATATATATATATATATATATATATGTATTTATATATATATATATATATTATTTATTTATTATAATTTTATCATATAGACAATCCCATTTTACTCACTACAGAGACGAAACTTGGTTTCAGTGCATTTTAACTGTTCTTCGACGGGTGAGAATCGAAAATGGTAACCATTTTCGATTCTCACCCGTCAGAGCATTTACTTAAATATTTATATCTATAAAAAAGAATGTATAAACATAAAAATGTCTTAAAAATAATTGTCGGATATTGTGCATTTCATAATATATATATATATATATATATATATATATATATATATATATATATATATATATGAAGAATATAGTCTTAACATGTGCTATATTTATAGGATAAAGTGCTCAATTTCAGATAAAGTGTTTCATGCTAGATGCAATCGTCAGGTCATATTTATATTTTATATATATATATATATATATATATATTTAATATTTACACATGCTCTATCTCTGATATTGAGTACTTTATCCCATAAATATACCACATCTTAAGACTATATTTCTTCATATTCGGCTCCTGATAAACAGTAGAGCACTTTCTCTACATTTATAACACAGTATAGACATAGAAAAATGTAACCTCGACTCGGAGGACGAATATTTTCTGTGAAAATCTCGCGGACATTCAGGCCGGTAAATGTTGTTTAATACTGTTTATTATAAGCAGAGCATTTACTTAAATATTTGTGTCTATAAAAAGAATGTATAAACATAAAAATGTCTTAAAAGTAATTGTCGGACTTTGTCCATTTCATAATGCGTGACGTCATATATCTATATCTATATATATATATATATATTTACATGTATGTATGTATGTGTGTGTGTGTGGGTGTGTATGTGTAACTTGATAACTAGGGGCTAAATTATATGGGTGTCGGAAGCAGAGTGAGTCATACAGGAATATTTAGTTGACAGGGGAAAAAGCTATGGCAAAAAAGAAACGCATGTGACAGAAATGACATAAACCCGAAATTAATAGCATTTGATCGATGCCAATGCTTTTCTACTCTCTCTACCGTCCAATATGGCTTGCCTACCGTTCCTTGGCCACTAGCACTGCGTCTGGAGACTTGTCAATAAGCTTTATGCCTTACTTTCATATCGTTGTATTGATAAAAAACAAAAAAAACTAAACGCGTTCTGAATAAATTTGTGAAATGAGATCAAACAGACACCAATGTTTTTAGAGGAACATTTTATTAACGTTTACATATTAACTTACGTCATAGATAATATTCCTTACAGTAATCCAAATAAAAGTGTTTGATTATATATATATGTACATATATATATATATATATATATATATATATATATATATATATATACATATATATATACATATATATATATGTATACATATATATATATATATATATATATATATATATATATATATATATATACAGAGAGAGATAGATATATGGATAGATAGATAGATATAGACAGAGAAAGAGAGAAAACACTTATCTTACGACCGACTTTAAGTCTCGTAGATACACCACCCCTCAGAATCAGATAAATCTATTGTGTTCATTAGCAATTATATTTATAAACTTTGTCAGATTCCAAAAATATCAATCTTGTTCCATGCCATAAAAGTTATAATAAAGTTATAATAAATTTAAACTGCCGATAAATTTAAATAATTTACTTATAATATTTGACGCATATAGTCTTTTAATACTAAATATTTTAATAATGCTTTGAGATTTTTATAATGCTTTATAAATTTATAATGATTTAAATAATTTACTAATAATAATTTATACTTTTAATTTAAATATTCTATGGTAATTTCTATGAATTGACCCCAAAATTAAATGATTTTTACTTTCAAAAAAATAAAATTATTATACATGGTTTAAAAAAAGTCAAAAAGACAATATTTTTATTT